CAGAACCCGAGCTCCACAGACCTGGTTCACTTCCTCTTCACTCCGCTCAGGATGGTCAGACTTGTTCATCTGTGGTCATGTTTTATTACACATACATGTACACGTACACATACATGTACACATACATGTACACATACACATACATGTACACATACACATACATGTACACATACACATACATGTACACATACACATACATGTACACATACACATGCAGCAAAGGGCAGCGATATGACGTAAAACCACGAGGACCAATCAGAAGCCTGAAACAAGTTGTTTGTATATTAGAGACTTGAATTGTCTCTGGATGGATTTTCTGTGTCTCCAGTGTGGATGGAAGAAAAGTCTCCGTCGATTTCTTTTTAAAATCTGTGTTGTTGTGGACGAGGCCTCGGTCTGACCCTCGGTCTGACCCTCGGTCTGACCCTCGGTCCGACCCTCGGTCCGACCCTCGGTCCGACCCTCGGTCTGACCCTGCCGCCCTCCTCAGGTGATCCAGGCGTCGGGCAGCGTGGACCTGGCTCGCAGCGTCGTGGTTCCTCTGCTCACCAGAGACGCCATCGACTTCCTTCACGCCTCAGGAACGGCGGAGGAGAGACACCTTTGGGTCGCCCTGGGAGACGGCTGGACCAAATGCAGGTGAGACGACACGAGAAAGATTCAACACAACATGGAAAGTACACGTGAGCGTTAAAAACATGTCTGAACATATGAAACATCATCAACATGAACTTTATTACGTCTCCAGGCTGGAGTGGCCGAAGGATCACTACTTCCCGCCCTGCGTGCTGAGGTTTCGTGATGGCTGGGAGCCTGCGGCGTTACCGGTGGTGACTCTGAGTCCAGAGGCGGAGCTGACTCAGCTCGCAGAGATCCAGAGACAGGAGGAGCTGAAGATGAGGCTGGCTCAGGAGGTCTGGCTCCTCCTCACATCTGTGATGATAAATCTGTTTGTGTTGAATTAACTGTCATATCGTGTTTGTCCAGCAGACGGCGCTGCAGACGTTCCCTCCGACAGATGGGTACGCCTTCTCCAACACGTCCTACAAACGCACGCAGATTCTGGATCAGGACGCGGCCGTGGCTGCGTTTAAACACGCCGTCAGCCGCCATGTTGACCGGTAACTAGCTGAGGTCACGACGCCCTGGAGAACTGATCCCACTTTACTGAGTCATTTTTCATCTTCCGTTAAATCTTCTCTTTTAATTTTTGATCCTGAAATATTTATTCATCCTTTTTATTCGGATTCTTTCAATTTCTGACTTTTCATCTGTTTCAAATCTTTTTATTAATTTCTTCCCTGAAAACTTGAAAAACTTTGAATTTCCTTCAAACTTCCAGATTAAAGTCGGGACATTTCTCCACGGCTCCAACATCTTAAAAACAAATTCAGTTCATGTTTGAGTTGTTTCTCTTTATTATGATTCTTAGTTCATATCTGGAAACTTTGATCAAACAGAGTTCAACTGTTTCCTCCATCGTTTCACTGTTTGTTCTTTTTATGTGATAGAAAGTATCTGTATTTTATTTTGTGTGTATTCTGTTATTCGTGAATAATTCATGTTTCGTGCAGTTGTCTTGTCGTTTCCATGGTAACTTGTGAATCACTGTTCTTCGTCTGTTTCAGAAGTTTCGATGCCGACACCAGAAATCAACCAAATATTTTTGCCAAATCTAAATTTGACTTTGTGGCGAGAAACAACACAGAACTTTCTGTCCTCAAAGACGAGGTCGTCGAGGTAACGAAACTCATGTGTTTTTATTTCCTAAGATTTCTTTAATATAAGTTTGTTTTATTTTTACATTGTATTACATGTATTTACAGTATCTGGTCCAAAGTTATCACAACATGTTACTTTACGTATCGAGAATAATAATTTCCTCTGAAACAGTCAAATGTCATTTAAAAAAAGTTTGTTAACGTCTAAAGGACATTTTGACTTCAGCAGTTTTAAATTCATTGAGCTCAGATTAAACACTAAAATGTAAAAAATGTTTTATTTAAAAAAATCTACAATAAACTGTTCAATGTGGTGAAATCTGCCAAAACTTGACACAATGACCTCCTCGTCCCTGATTCTGTCCTCCAGGTTCTGGACGACAGGAAGCAGTGGTGGAAGGTTCGTAACGGCGGGGGGGCGTCCGGCTATGTGCCAAACAACATCCTGGAAATCACAAAAGCCGTGGACGTGACGGGCCGAGCAGAACCCATCTACAGCCACACCATCCAGGTAAGAGACCAGACAGCACGACGCAGACTTCACCCATTTAACGTCCAATTCAAACGTCTCACAAATCACTCGTTCTCTTTTTACAACTGAAGCTTATGATGCCAAAAAAGGAGTTTGAGTTGTTTAAGGTAGGACGAGAGTTTGTTCTCCGCTCTGCGTCTTAAAGGAACCGTCTGAACCAAGCTGCTGCACGTTCACCTGTTCAATGAACAATGTGTAGTCACTTTTACAGACTGCTCCTTTAAGTGTGTTTGACGCAGTAGAACATTGTCGGCGTAGAGGATGGCGCTGCCGTAGAGTTGGTAGTTTGCAGTGAGTTTGACGTGAATAAAACGTTTGTTTCATGTTCTCATCGCAAACACGTTTGTTTTGTTTTTTGAACGTCGGCAGCAATTATTGGGCGAGTTGAACGAGGTAAAGCCGAACAAACGACATCACGTTAGAGATACAACGAGTTCGCTGTACAAATAAATGTGTCGCTCTCAGAAACAGACCACGAGGACGGACTTGATACCCGGTAAAGCCGCCGCCACTCCGATGCCCCCGGCCCCCACTCCGATGCCCCCGGCCCCCACTCCGATGCCCCCGGCCCCCACGTCGCCGCCCCTGGCCCCCACCAGGCTCCCCACGCCGCCGCTGCCCCCTCCGGTGGCCGAGCCCGCCAAACTATCTGCCGGCAGCAGCGCTG